CGAAACTGTCCCGAAATTGTCCGAGGATTGAAAAATGGTCGGGATTTTTGCAAACACTAATGAGTAGTCATGCAAATTAGTTCCCTCAAAGTGTATTGTTTATGGGTCGTGCGTAGGGATTTCTTCAGAAAGCGGTTGTCTTTATGGAGTATCTGTCTTAAATTATCCCTGTGATTAGCGAATTCACAGGCAAAAGTATTACGTTTGCTTATAGGAATAATGCAAATTGGACTGATCTCGAAATTTTAGGTTGATGTTACTTGCATGGTCGTATCGTTTGGAAAATGAAGACGATGAAATGCGACGTCCACCGCCAAAATATTCAAGTTGTGTTCGTGGTGTTTACAGTAAAGAGAATATCAACTACTTACCTACTTATGAGGAAGCGCTGAAAAATATACAACTGAAAAAACAACATTACTGTAAGTTTATGCCATATTTTATTGTCAGCTTTGCCAGCAGACTCGCTCAGATATCCCGATCTGATTAGACCATATTGCAAAATGAGCGATATCCCTGCATCACACTAGAATCGACCTTACCAAACACCATCTTCTATCATACAGTTGGTCTTTACTCACACATTTGATCGAAGAACATTTGCTTGGAGTCTTGCGGAATTCATAAGTTCAAATTATCAATTGAATTGCTTGAACACATACAGTTTTATGAATGCTGGTTACTGGCATCGACGGAATAATCAACATTCTATTGATTTTATGAGTATAAATTTCGCTTAACACTATCCTTTCATCATTCTCATATGAGCGCGTACCATTTCGAGAATCATTCCTGACTTTCGTGGCTGATTGACCAAAACTGATTACTACATTGCTGAATTCTCTAAAATATTTTCTTCCGGCTGCTTTCAATCACTTAGGTGGTTTAATGCTGTGAAGAGCACGATTATCTGATCGTTCGAGACGCTCGATCATAATTTCCAACTTCTGGTTTACAGTCCAAAATTCTGGGGATTTCGAGATCCTGCAAAGAATACTTTTGAAATGTGCGAGAATATGAGTCGTCAGATAGCAATAGTAACGCTGAATAGTAATTACTCTTTTAAATCGTCAACAATACTATAGTCAAAGTAATTTTTTCAGTTGCAATAACA